GATACGCCACTGGGGGTTGGTCCCTCACTTTTCGTCCGTAATGTAATAATTTCTTAAGTCAAGTTGCCTGGAAATTGTTGAAATGAACTGCATAAATGACCCAGGTTTTAACGAAAGTGTGTGTACAACCGGTGCTCTATCTTGCCCACAAACATCTGAATTATTTATAATACACGACTCTTGTGAGAGTGCCTTTATTATAATTTGAGAAGTATGAGAAAAAGCGTGTAATAATAATAATAATAATAATAATAATAATAATAATAATAATAATAATAATAATAATAATAATAATAATAATAATAATAATAATAATAATAAGCTTGGTTTTCGGCACATTTTAAAGTAAATTTAAAATACATCAAAGACAATTGTGTTTTATTTTCTGTGAAAATCACAGCGATTAATTTGATTGATGATGATGAATTTTATTATAAAAGAGTGTCATTTCCTGTAATCTAGAGGTACTATTTCCCCAAATGGTCCCACCTCAGCCATGTGTGGACTAATGGCTTTGAAGTAGGTAGGCCTAAATTAACTAATAAAAGACAATGTTTTTAATATTTATTTTCTATAGTACATCACATATAGGCCTATTAATTGGTTGCCGAAAATAACTGGTAAAACATCATGAGAAATTTGTTGGCGCTTCATTTTTACTATATAATGGTGATGTGATGACAATGAATTTTACTATATGAAAGCGTCATTTCCGGTCATCTAGAGTTAGATCTCCTAAATTTTCGCTTACAAAATATCCCCCCACACTTCACCTTTCGAAACACCCTTGTCAAAACCACGCCCCCACCCCCCGGCTTGGTGCTTCGCAAATCACATTATCTATCCCCATCGCTAAATCCTAGATCCACCACTGAGTCGTGTCGTCACAACACCAGGTGGCGCCCTTTGTTGTCAACTAGACATTGGTTACCGTTCATTACGCCTGAATGGCTTCATAATCTTAATGGTTTAGAAGAGGCTTTCTAGAATAGGCATTTTAAAACCTAATAATTTACCATGAAATTGTACTAAAAACACAAAAGCTTGCATTATATTAGTTATCGAACACACATTTAATCATCAATTAAAATTTACAAAGAAAAACTAAGATACAACGTTTAGGTATTATATTACGTTAGGCCTACAATGTATTGTCAATGAAGAAAGTGGCGTCCGGTTGAACTTACTTTGTGTCACCGCTAGCAACAGAGTAGTATCAATTGATATCGTGACGTAACACTGCTAGTACTCTATAGAAAATTAATCAGAATTATTTTTCTATATAAAACCTATTCATTCTCTATAGAGATAGTTCTAAAGAAATATAATTCTATAGAAAATTGATCCAAAATGTTTTTCTCTATATGAAGCCAATCCATTCTCCAAGTTTTATAGAAATATAATTCTATAGAGAATTACTTAGAAAAAATGTATATAGTTTTTATAGAGTTTTTCCCTTTCGAAAAATCCTATGGAATTCTTGTTTAATTCTGATATAGGCCTAATTTTTATGTAGGCCTAATTTTGACAGATTTTCAATAAAATTGTTTTAAAAGTCGATAGAAATTATACAGATAAATGTATAGAATGTATAATATACAATTTCTATAGAATCCTATTTCTATGAAAATTCATTATTTTTTACATCATAATTCGGGATTTTATATTAAAATTCTATACAAATTCTATACGGTATAAGTTTTAAAAAACGTGCTGACATATTCTATAGGAAATATGTAGGCCTAAACTTACCGTATTGTATTGAATTTTACTTTATAAATTTATGAAAACATATTCATAAACAATTCTTCATTTTTAAAATTATACCTGTACTTTTCAAAAAACATGAATCGTTTTCTCTGATGTGTCTAGCAATTAAAATGGAGCAAGAATATGCTAATTAGGTAGCTCAATACCAAACAACTAACACATCGCGTAGGAAACAGACAAAACAAAGTTCGACAGCATTCTAAAATAAACCTTCTTGTAAGAAGATGAGGTGTTTTAAATCTTGATTTTTAGGACCAACCTTATTAAATGTTATTTTCTATAGGCCTATTTTGTATTCTAATTTATATTTTTATTTCCTGACGCTGAAGAGTTATGTGCAGAACATGGCGAACAGATATTCCACGTAGGCAATAGGTTGGTGTAATAGGCCTAAACATATCTATGTGCTCAACCATGTAAACCAAAATATCCAAAACAAATATGAAAGTAAAAATGCAAACAAAACATAAACAAAATATAAATTGAATTAACCTTTTCCAATATAAAACATATAAACACAATGGTAATCTGCTATAATATTGTATTGTGAGCTTTTTGTACACATTGAGCTTATAATTCAATTGTGTGTTTCTTAATACGAGCAAGTCTTTTGTGAATTTATTCGATGCCTCTGTAATAGTCAAAAATTATATATTATTTTGATTCCTTATAATATTAGGTTTGAAGCAAAACATAGCAGGTGGAATTTTTCAAGCTTAAAATAAATATTAGCAAAAAGCATTTGTACTTTACTGTACCACTGAGGATGATTATTTGTTTTATATCTTTATGTAGAAATTTTATACCGATTTAGTCATGTAACAAATATGATACGTGTTAAACATTTTTGTATTTTTTATTCATTAATTTATCACCAACGATGTTTACAAACTCGACAAAGCAATGATATTACTACTAGTTGTGAATCGTGGGATTGTAGACTGACAAACTTTCGAAATCCGGTTGCAGTATTGCAGAAAGTTCATTCTCTCCATCACCGTTGTCATCGACGTCACCGGCATCATTTCTGAGTTCATGTGAATCATGCGATTCCCACCACAAAACCTCTTTTACTTTAATAAGTAGATCAACTGTAATGACGAAATATAGATTGATTAATTAGGAAACTTATATGTTTATAATATAGTTATATACATGTTTTTAATATAAGTTTGAAGAAAAAAAAATTGCAGGTAGATTTTCAACTTTATAAACTAATATAAAATAGTTTATAATAATATCTATTATAAATATTATATGTTTGGTCACAGTATAAAAAAACACTAACAAGAAATACTTACAAAATACAGCAAACAGAATTGAGAGGTTGAGCAACAGAAGGATAAAGGGAATACTACCATGGAGGAAAAGTATCGTTTCATCTACTGTGTACTCGGACTCTATATCAACAATTGCGCCAACAGATAAGTTAACGACAATGAACACGAGTGTCAACAACTGAAACCGCTGATCTGATTTAGCCTTCACTGGTTCAAGATACAAATGTAATGCAATGAGAATGACCGTCAAGAAAAGAGAATATGACATGTTAGAGGCTTGATCGTCTTTGAAGTTGACGATCAGGGCGAGTATAGCTTTGTTATACATATCAATTATCTCCCAGAACCAACATTTTGGCCTATATTGCTTGCAGAAAAACTTTATACCCGTAGTTCCACGTTGTTCTTCGCAACGTACGGCCTCATGACGTTTATATCTGTAATATATTACCAGAATTAGAACAATTGGAAAACCAATAACATACACAAATGAAGCATAAACGATGTTCTTGTTGGTTTCGTACTTTAAACCACTTTCTTCATCAATGTCGATAGAGTAGTCTGAAGTTAACACTCGTTTTGAATATTTACCGTCTGCTGTGACATTAAACGTACGAACAGACCATGGCCCAACCGCCATGATTTTCGAGCAAGCATTTGCGTAAGTCAAATACAGCAACACCATTGTAATCAAAATGAAGTTGTCTGTTAAATGATGACTTAAGTGAGCTTGTTTGTACCTCTTATAAATATAACAGAGCAAAAAGATGAATGATGCAGACACAACAATAATAAAAGGTGTTGCGATGGCAATGTACAAAAACGTGTAAGCATTCCAAACTCCTGGAAATATGCATGTTGGGCTGAGAATATTGACATATCGTACAATATCGAGGTACTGGAGACTTTGCCCAACAGGTTGAAACGAATCTGGCCAATGGATTTCATTAACTTCAGATAGTATGCCCAGAACTTGATAGAAATTTACGGCGATCTTCAAATGGTTCACGAATTTGTCATCGCGTGTTATGCCACCTCTTATTCGTTTATCTAATCTCCACAGCCCGTAGGTAACACATACAAATGTCAAGATTAAGAAAATCATCACAATAATTATAATCTTAATATCTTGACATTTGTGGCAATCGTTGAATAATTTATAATATTTCGGGCTGCACTCTGCACAAAACCAAGCTGTATAACCTTCTGAGCAATTTGCTTCAATATCTCCACCTTGGCAACTCTCACTTCGTGGACACATGTGAACTGCAGGAATTGATCCTGTATATACGGTATCTTTTAAACTTTCAGGGTTAGAAGGTTCGAAAAACGAATTACTAATGTTTTCAACAAACTGTTTGTACTCGTTTAAACTACCGAGGTCATCTGGACCAACATAACCAGTGAAATTCCACGACCACCAGTAGCCGGCTTTCAGTTTCTGGAAGCCACCTGTGCAATCGGCGCCGCTTATACACGGTTCACATGCACCGTAACGGTAAGTTCGGTGGAAGTTCTCTAAGCATGGACATGCATCAAGAGCGGCATTTGCATCTGTATTGGTTCCAGGTGGACATGACCGGCAGTCAAAAATAGAGGCAGATCCATAACGAGGAGAAAATGTCCCGATTGGGCATTGTTTACAGTCGGATTTGTAGTTACCATTTTCAACATACCCATACAAAAAAGTTCTATAGAGCTCTATAGAATTCTATAGAACTTTATATAGAGTTCTATGTAACTCTATAGTAACACATACAAATGTCAAGATTAAGAAAAACATCACAATAATTATAATCTTAATATCTTGACATTTGTGGCAATCGTTGAATAATTTATAATATTTCGGGCTGCACTCTGCACAAAACCAAGCTGTATAACCTTCTGAGCAATTTGCTTCAATATCTCCACCTTGGCAACTCTCACTTCGTGGACACATGTGAACTGCAGGAATTGATCCTGTATATACGGTATCTTTTAAACTTTCAGGGTTAGAAGGTTCGAAAAACGAATTACTAATGTTTTCAACAAACTGTTTGTACTCGTTTAAACTACCGAGGTCATCTGGACCAACATAACCAGTGAAATTCCACGACCACCAGTAGCCGGCTTTCAGTTTCTGGAAGCCACCTGTGCAATCGGCGCCGCTTATACACGGTTCACATGCACCGTAACGGTAAGTTCGGTGGAAGTTCTCTAAGCATGGACATGCATCAAGAGCGGCATTTGCATCTGTATTGGTTCCAGGTGGACATGACCGGCAGTCAAAAATAGAGGCAGATCCATAACGAGGAGAAAATGTCCCGATTGGGCATTGTTTACAGTCGGATTTGTAGTTACCATTTTCAACATATCCAAGCCTGTCTTGATAATAACCACCTGTAAACAAATAAAGTTAGGTAAGTAGTTTACTGTAGTTGTACATGATTAACTTACATAAAAGATAAATATTAAAAACAATTACCTGGTGGGCAAGGGTAACAGCCTTCCTTTGTCAACAGTCCGTAATAACCTTGAGCACAGAGCGTGCAAACACGGCCATCGCACCTCATTCCATACCAAACCGTATGAAGTTCCACGTAATAAGATACAAGTGTCATTGTTGTCTTATTACTAACGCACCTCCTACAAGAGAATTCGACAATAGAGCAAAAAAAAAAAAAAAAAAAAAAAAAATCACTCAACTGAGATGTGATTTCCAGTCTTATGCAGTCAGGCATGCTTTACTAGTTGTGGTTTTTCTTTTTTGGGAGGCCAAAGATATAATTGTAAAAATGTAATCAAGTTACAATACCGCTATCTATTTATATAGTATATAATAGTATACACCGATAGAGGCCTTATAGTTAGTATTAAAAATATGCAAAATCACAGATTGGACTTACGCAGTTATATTTTCTGATATTTTTGGTGGGATATATTCGAGAGCTCCACATTCTAGATATCTATCAAGATAAATGGCATTAGGAACATCATAAAACCAATAATATACTACATGGAAAAAAGACCATGACGCTTACCAACTGTATAACACTCACAACAGCCATTTTCCCGACAAAAACCGAGCCCTATTATCTCCTTAGAAAATTGGTTATCAATGAACACGGGCGCAGATCCGTTTTGGAAGGTTGGGGGACAATCATAGACAATCACCATTTGAGGAAATACCTTAGTACCTCTAGGTGGCCGGAAATAACACTCTTATATAGTAAAATTCATCATAATCACGTCATCATTACAGTCAAAATGAAACACGAAAAAATTCTCATGATCTTTTATCAGCGATTTTTGGCTACCATAAAAAAATACAATTGATCTTTGTGATGTACCAAAGAAATTTAAAAACATTGTCTTAGATGTATTTACTTTACTTACGTACTTAAAATCCTTCCTTATATTGCGATCGAAAAGTGGGATACCAACCATCCTTAAAAATGTGGGGGGGGGGAAACGTGTCCCCCATGATCTGCGCCCATGTCAATGAACACCTACAGATAGTATTATTATGGATACATTATTAGGTAAAAGAAATTGTAAGGTGAGAGAATATTAATTCATAACTCGATGTGTCATTGTTCTGAATTATTGCGTATGGTTATGACCGGCGACTAGCATTGAGCAATAGAGAACCACAGCATCGGTGTAAACTCCTCTAATGAAAGATGTGATAGGTTCTTCAAAGTGTACACGAGCCATATTTGTACACTTAACCTCCATCTTTCTCTTTTTGGTAATTAATTAGCCCTTTTATAGATAGGTTATAATATAGAAAACATATTTGATCAATTATGACTAAGACTAGTACTTACACAGTTGAATTTGGTGCTAGATGAGAATACGCTTCATACTCTACTACTTCAATGAGATTGTTGAATAGGTAACTAGAAGGAAAAAATAATGTAAACAAAATATATAATAATTCCACTCAAGCTATTTGATAATTATAATATTATCAACTCTTACTTACAGATATCTAAGTGTTCGACCATTTACGTTAAACATCTCACTTGTGATTTTCTTCAGACTATTTCCGTAAAGAATGCTAAAAATGAAGAACAAATGTATATCGTCATATAGGTAATGTATGTCAACAAAAATAATACTGTTAACATTTTTCAAACACGCCACTCAATATGAAGTTTTACTTACAGATACTTGAGACTGGTTCCGCTAAAAGATCCATCTTCTATATAGGATATATTATTCAGATGAAGATATCTATAGGATCGGAGAAACAATTAAACATTATTTACAGAATCAGGGCTAATTATTATAAATTTATCATTTCAAATAGAAAGCAAACGGTATATTTATTCGTAGTTTATTTTTCTACTTCTGTGCTTACAAAACGTTTTTGACAAATTCTGGATGTGATGTGTGTTTTTACTCATTGTTTTATATATACTATTTAAGTGTCGAGTATTGGTAATGATGCATTTAGGTTTCATCGCTTTCCATCATCCTTCATGTAACCAAAAGTCATAACCCTACCTAAATCACTATTACAGCAAATTTATTTTCACAAGTTAAGCCGAGTTTTCATAAAATCGCTACAGTGTTTTCACTGCAATCGTTTAACTGCGTAGTTGACCCCGACGCAATCGGAAAAGACCCCAATTTGACCGACCAATTAGCATCGCCTGAACAATCGGTGGAAGGGTTAGCGATTTTATGGAAACCATGCTTTAGTTGCTGTGATACCACCGATACCGATGGTAGAATACTTGAATGTGAATTTTTTTAAAGGTTTATCAACGGTTATTTATTTCATAAGTACGTTATATGTAATTTAGAAGTAAGTGTGCAGGTTTTACCATATTATAATAACACTCTATTTAACCTGATTATGTTTATATCATGACATGATATGAATTATTCAAAGCCGAGAACATTTTATTTTTACACCAGTGCAGCATTAGCTGAATTCGAACTAGTATACACTATATGACTTAATGGATCTTTCTGGAGTGTTAATCAATCTTAATAACTGACCAATCAGAACACCGCCAGGAATAAGCGTGTCTCATACACACGTGTTTTTCCACAACCGCATGCGTGTTTGCGTATGTTTTGTTTAGTGGGACCTTAGCAACAATATCCAAGGGGCGGGGCTTAGCGGAAAGGTCCATTGTGCACAAGTGTTTTTTTTTTGTTCGTTTTTTTTCCGTTGAACTTACAACGCTTCCAGAGTTTCCAACCCAGAGAAATGATGCCTTGAAATTGATCGAATATTATTCTTTACTATAAACATTGCCTTGGTCGTGTAAGCAATAACGCTTCTATTGTGTTCTGAGCTTAAGTTGATGGAGTTAACGTTCAAAAATCTGAGCATATATAAAAGATTGATAAACATTACGATTTACAAATTGTATTTGCTGTAGAGAGGAAAATGAAGTAAAATAATTAAAAAATAAAGTTATGTAAAAGATTGATAAACATTACGATTTACAAATTGTATTTGCTGTAGAGAGGAAAATGAAGTAAAATAAAAAAAAAATAAAGTTCACAAATATATATGTACATATATCGATTCAGTTGAAATCTCACGTATGTCTCGAATGCATAGGCCATAGAACATTGTAAAAACAAACGTAGGCGGTGGACACTTTAAGTTGAATTGCTGATGGTTAAGTTTCTTGCTCTATGGTTAAATTTACCTTCCAATCCCAGTGTCCCCTGGGTACAATTTATGTCACGGTAACTGGAGTTTTCTCACGATCAAAAGCAACTGCACTCCCTGGGCCTTTTAATGGCATTTAGTTTATGTAAAACACCTTGTATGTATGTTTGTCTTGTGAAGGAATAATGCCACTTAGGAAAGCGACATATACTACTAAAAGTGCAAGTTGTTTTTACTTAAGATATAATGCCTCACATTATATAAAAATGTCCGGCGTTTGTTTTTCACCACAGCATTATTCTATATGGTTATAAATATACACAGAAGCACTCCTGAAAATGTAATTCATTTTATATAAGCCTACAGCATTTTATAATTCTAAGTTTCTAATTTGTTTCTTTTGTACAGATGGCCATAATCATTATCATAACAACAGTGTCGATGCCATAGAGATTGTCGACCTGTTGAATTCGGCCACTTTGACCTTAATCTCTTGTGAATCCTGCTTCAAGCAGGAAGTTAACCCCTGTGTAAATTGTCTTGGTGAATTCCCCCACCCCCTAAATGCCGAATTTATTCTTCTCCCCTTCACAAAATTTGGCATGGAAAGCTCCAAATTTCCTATACGTACAGGCCGACTTCGAGGAGGATGGGGACAAGTGCGAACCCCATCACATATCTTCCCAGAGCCAACCGCTCTGATACGAGGATAAATACGAATAATAATACTCACATGCTACGGACAACCTTACTACTATAAACAGCTAGTGGAATCTCAGTAAATAGGTTATTAGATAAGGACCTGCAGATAAGATTACAGGGATTTACTAAGTTAACACAAATTTTACAAAAAGTCTTGACGTATATGAATATATAATACATAAACCGTTTACTATAAAATATAAATTAATATTTGTTTATAAATTATAAATATTAATTAGGTCAACATTAATTTATATAATCAAAATTATTAAAGGAATTGTATTGGCCTATACTCATATCAATAAATTAAATACACTTAATAGCAGACAATTCCATTTATATTTTTTTGAAGTTTATAATCATGAAGTTTAATATGTCGGCTGAGTGTACTTACAATTCCCATAAGCTCTCGACCTCAATAAATGCTTCAGGATGAATATGCTGCAATCTATTGAACTCAAGTGAACTATATATCACAATAAATCACTATTATTGTAACAGAAATTATCACAACGTATACTAAATAACATGAGTGTGCTCTACATTACCTCAGCAGCCTATAGAAGGTTACACAGTCACTAAATTTTGTCTAAATCAGTGAAAACTATTAAAAATAAATCGATTTTTGTACCAATGACTTTCCATATTACTTCTTTGCACCAATGGCTCTGCACTTTTTTGGGTCAAAAGTTGCTATGCACTATGCAATAAATTTATGATGATGACTAACACTTTGTTGCTTTTGGGGCCCCATAATAAATGAAATTAAATGAAACAAATTAAAATATAATGAAATATTAGGTAGCTTTAAAGCTCTGCACTCACTGCATTGTACGACGGTCGTACGTACGTCTGTGATCGAAAGACGACGCGACGCCGTCTGCTGATTGTCTGATCGTCATTAAAAACGATCCATTGCGCGCGCGTCGTCGCGTTGCGTTCTTCATAGAATCGCGTCGGCCGACGACCGCCGTACGAGTGAGTGCCCGGCTTAAGCCTCATATTTACACTAGACACGATTAACGACACGATACAGATGCGCGCAGTGTTGAAGAATACGAACTACGCGATGTATATATGCTATGCACACATAAGACCCGCAGTACAAACTGATCATTATCACTTTTAAACTGAAAACACATGAAACAAAAAAGGGACCTGGAGTCTGGAAAATGAATATTGAACACCTTAAAGATAAGTGTTTCAGAGAAGGGGTAATTAGGTTAATTAAAAATCAGTACCGGAATTATAACAATGTAGAATCTAGATGTTTATTATGGGACTGGACCAAAATTCAAATACGAGATTTTTCTATAAAGTATGGAAAGAAAAAGCCAAGCAAAATAATAATAAAATTAAAGAAATGGAAAACGAGATCGAAGAACTAAACAAAAAAAATATTGGACAGTAACAATGAGACAGAAGAACATAAAATTATTAATGAAATAACAGCAAATATTGATATGTATTACACAAATAAAGCAAAAGGGGCTCAAATTAAATCAAGAGAAAAATGGTGTGAACAGGGAGAGAAAAATACTAAGTACTTTCTCGGACTAGAAAAGTCCAGAGCTATTAAAAAGGAAATAAATAAAATGAAAAAGGAAGATGGAACCATAATAAGCAACACATCAGATGTGCTCAAAGAAGACGTTGACTTTTATAAAAAAAATTGTATCAAAATAAAGAAATTGAAAGTAAAGAAATAAATAATTATCTAAAACAACTACCAGTAAAGGAGCTTACAAAACAGCAAAGTGAGACATGTGATGGCCAGGTAACTAATGATGAATGCAAAGATATACTATTCAAAATGAAATTAAACAAATCTCCAGGGCCTGATGGCATACCGGTAGAATTTTATCGGGAATTTTGGCCAGTAATTGGAGACATATTATGTCAAGTATTTAATGAAAGTTTTTGCAATGGATAGCTGTCTGAATCCCCCAAAAATATGGATTATTACATTAATTTTTAAGAAAGGAGAAAAAGAATTGCTAAAGAACTGGAGACCAATTAGTCTCCTAAATATTGACTACAAGATTGCTTCAGGTGTACTATCAAACAGGCTTAAGCATGTCCTGGGAACTATTATTAGCACAGATCATAAAGGGTATATTCATAAAAGATATATTGAGGAAAATATAAGGCTCATTGAAGATGTCATTACTTTTGCTGAAAACAAAAAAATTAATGGGGCAGTCATTTGTGTAGACTTTGAAAACGCTTTTGATTCTGTTAACAGAGATTTCTTGTATAAAGTATTACAGAAATTCAATTTCGGTGATGAATTTATTAAATGGATTAAACTATTATATTCAGGTGCGAAGAGTTGCATTATAAATAAAGGATATTGTTCAGAATACTTCAATATAGAGTGTGGCATCCGGCAAGGTTGCCCAGTATCAGCTCAGCTATTTACATTAGTGGTAGAAATTTTGGCTACACATATAAGAAATGAACAAGATATAAAAGGAATTGCACTTCCGGGGGTTAAAAACAGAAAAGCTAAAATATGTCAACTAGCGGATGATACTACTCTGTTTTTAAAAAACAATGGTAGTATTGTTAAAGCAATTGAGACAATTGAAACATTCTCAAATGTTAGTGGAATAAAATTGAATAAAGAAAAAAGTAATGGAATATGGATAGGGCCATGGAAAGATTCGTGTCCTGAACAAGCGCACAATCTTAAATGGAAGAATGTTCTAAAATTATTGGGTGTATACTTAGGACATGACAACAACTTATGTTACCACATGAATTGGACAGAAAAAACAAATAAATTAAAAACCTTGCTAAATAGATGGAAAAAGAGAAATCTCACTTTATTAGGCAAAATAATCATTGTAAAATCATTAGGTCTAAGTAATTTGGTATATAATGCAAGTGTGATAGATGTTCCAGAAAAGGTTTTTAAAATCATTAACGGAATTGTGTTTAAATTCATTTGGAATGACTCCACTGAAAAGGTTAAACGTAAAACGATAATAGAAATACAAATGATGGTGGGTTGAAAGCACCTGATTTCTTCACTCAATGTCTTGCACTCAAATTTCAATGGATAAAAAGGTTGTTATGTGGCGAAGATGGGTTATGGAAAGATATTCCAAAGTATTATATGCAGAAATTTGCACCCCTGAAAGTCCTTATACATATTAGTTGTCTGCAAATAAATGATAATATACATCTTAAAAATATTCCAAAATTTTTTTGTTGATGTGCTTAAATCAATTGCACTAGAAAATAAAACCAACATTTTACAACTTGGAAATCTAGATGTTAATGAAATAAAGAAACAACTGCTATGGGGAATTGATGTCATTAGATTTAAGAACAAACCTTTGTTTTTTAGTGAGTGGATTAATTCCAATATAATTTATGTGGGTGATATATGTGAAGGTAATAGATTAAAATCACCAACTATTTTAAAAGCAGCTCTTATAAATCAAAGAAACTGGATTATACAGGTAAAACAGGTTTTGCATCCAATACCAAAACCATGGATAGAGCAAATACATAGTAAGATAAACAAGCCTTCAATTATAAACGAAAACAATGAGTTGTTAAAGGTTAATTCAAAAACATATTATACTAAACAAATACAACAAATATTTTGTGAACCAACTTCCCAGAAGCAATGGGAGAATATCTTTCAAGGTAAACATTTTGACTGGGATTTAATATGGAGTAATAAGGTCTCCAGAATAAAAGAAACAAGACTAGCAGAGATGAATTTTAAGTTATTACATAGAATCTTACCAAATAATAAGAGGTTGGTTGTATGGAACATAAAACAAGACCCTAATTGTTATTTATGCGAAAAAGAGGAAAATGAAAAGCATATGTTTTATGAGTTTCAAAGACTTAAAGGTTATTGGGATTGTGTAGTTAACATAATTAACAAACTGGAAAAACAGAATGTAAAAGTGCTTTCATATATTGATATTATATTTGGAGTTAAGAATATGAAAAGCAATGAATTAATTACATTAGCTTGTTATGTAATTTACAAACCATGGTTAAAAGCAGAAGGGAAAATAAAAAATGATAATTTAAACAGGATGTTTATTGCTGAGCTAAAATTAAGGGTCAAACTATAGTCTAAATTAAAGAAAACGTAATGATGTGAATTGAAAAAAAAAACAACCTAAAATTGTTAAATGACAGTAAATTATTTGTACAAAATCAAGATGGAAATGAAAAGGTGTAGAACTGAGATTAATTTATTATGTAATTGATATTTAAGCAAATGTTTATGATTTATTTTACACACTAAAAAGCAGAAAAAAAATGTTAAATCAAACAGGATGTTCATTGTTGAACTAATATTAAGGTCTAATCTAAAGGAAATGTAATGATGAGAATTGGGGAAAAAAAGAAAAAACTAAAAAGTGTTAAATTAAAATAAATTATTTGTAAAAAATAAGATGAAAATGAAAATATATAGGAAAACAGAGATTAATTTATTATGTTGTTATATTGATTTTATGTACATTTTTATGGTGCAATAATGAGAATAAAGGTGGCTTTGCCAGAAAGAGAAAAAAAAACAACTACGCGATGATATGTCGTTGTCGTGTCGTAATCGTGTTTAGTATATATATATATATACCCAAACGACCCGTTTCGTTTGGGTCTATACCCTAGCTGCACTGATGAGGCCTGGAAGGCCGAAACGGATCCGTCTGCAGATATTGGGATTCCTTCCAGTAGGTGCTTAGTTTATTTTGTCATTCTGATCGGATTTTCTCTACTGTTCCGTTTTAATTTTAAATAGTTTTGCGTTATGTGGCCGTTTGCTGTTTTATGGGTTTTTCCCATTTGCCTTTTAAAATTTATATATATATATATATATATATATATACATATATTGCCTTTAAATTCACTATTAAAAACAAACCTTAAAATACTTACATAGATATAAACTTGCTTCCATTAAAGGATCTGGATGGGATGTTCGTAATTAGGTTATGGTCAAACAATCTGCAAATTGAAAATGAAAATTATATTCTGTCAAAAATATTTAAATCATTCAAAAATTAAACAAAGAAAAAAACAACATTTTCTTACACGAAAGAGCTGTGTCCAAGATTTTTAAAACTTCTTGTTGCAATTTCTCTCACGTTCGCTTTGGTTATGAATCTATGGACAATATTGATATGAATTAATATATTTTATATTATTTATCATATTTTTCATTATTACATACATCAGTGGCGTAGCGGAGAAACAAATTTATTAGGTATCTGTTCCCCATGGCATGCGAGCGACGCGAGCATTTAGGTTGGGGCGAGGGCCGGCCCGCCGATGATATTTATGTTATAGGCCTATTTATCTAATGGTTGGTTGGTAAGGGGGTTGCAACAGTTCCTTTGGTACTATGCTCCAAAGCTTTTTGTCAGCATCAACTAATCTACTGCATTTTATTTTTATTTTTTTAACTCCAGGTTTCTTAGTTAAGATGTTATTCTATGAGTTGAACCTTTTTAGAGTGGATTTTCTGGGGTGCTGATGTTTTTGGGGTTTTTGATTATAAAGAAATTCTTTTTCTATGATTTAATAACTTGTTTATCTATAATAACTTCTAATTAATATAAATTGGAACCGTCAAAAGTTTTGCTCAAAAATGACAATCATGCTGTGGGAATGTCATTTTCCAAATAATTATAGGCCTAGATCATTATTCAAATCTAACTGACTATAATGAATTTCATACTACAGAAATCCAAGGTTAACCGATTGTACCGGAGGTCCAGGCTATTTTACTCTAGGTTCAGGATTCAAAGACTATGACTAGGGGAAAACAATGCAATGTTTTATATATATGATTTATATATATATGTTTTTATATGTTTTATATGCCAAAAGGGAGGAATGGAATGAATTTAAAATGACAAGTATACATTTAACATGAACAAGCTGTTTGTTCACTGAGGGCTGCTCCCAATTAATATGCAAGACTTATATACATGTGTAGTTGTAGGGTGGGGGGGGGGTTGCGCGGGTGTGTGTGATGTGTGTGTGTATAAATATTGAAGTAAGGATCCCTATCCACTGTAGTTTTATGTTGCCTACATTAATGGCCTGTCTATTTGGTGTCTCAATAATGCATCCGTTCATTTTTTATCTTTGAGTGTATATACTGTATTATATTGTATTTTTCATATACTGTTGTTTTTGACGTGTAGTGCTTGTTAACATAAAAATGAATTTCCTATTACAATGGAGAATAGTTCTTAATATTATAGTTTCATAAAAAAAGTTGCATAAAAAAGGCGTCTCTGGTGGGAATAAACGAACCCGCAATCGTTTATTTTCAAATAAAAAGTTATTTTAAACCTATCACCGTTAGGCC